GCAAATCTATAGACTGCTTTCTCTTTCCGTATCATACGCTCTATATTGTCTATCTGTCACATTCACTTATTTATGCCATGTAGACATTAGAATCACTTTATCGTCCCATCAGCCTCCTCAGTTGCCTGGGGAAGCTCTATGAGCGGCTTGTATTAAACACGCTCAAAGAGCACGTGTTTTCCAACGGCCTTCTGCCGGCGGAACAATTCGGCTTTCGAGCTAGACATTCTTGTCCCGATCAATTATTCCGCCTAACGGAACATATCCTAAAAGGCCTAAATCACCCTAAACATATTACTACAGGGGCTCTTTTCTTTGATGTCGCAAAAGCATTCGACAAGGTCTGGCACCACGGCTTGCTTTACAAGCTGTACACGCTAAAAGTGCCAGATAGACTCGTACACACCATCGGAGCCTTCCTGTCGAACCGCTCTTTTCGATATCGAGTTGAAGACACCCTCTCCACAAGCCGCCGCCTCACGAACGGCGTACCACAAGGCTCCTGCCTGTCACGTTTGCTCTTTACGTTCTACACGAGCGATATACGTAAAGACCCCCACGTCAATCTCGCGCTTTTCGCGCATGACAACTTAGTCCTTAGTCAACTAACCTCTCGGCTCCACAGCGCCGCCGACCGCCTCGGCGATTGGTTCCCCAAATGGAGAATAGAAGTAAATCCCGAAAAGAGTGTGGCGATTCACTTCACAGGAAGTACTTACCCGTCACATCATTATAATGGCCCTCGCCAATGCAGAAAGTTGGGGCAAATATCCCTTTATGGCCAACCGTTCCCCTGGGAGAAAAAGGTAAAGGTCAAATACTTTAGGAGTCACTCTTTCGACTCGCATATGTCATTTACTACGCACATTAATAACGTTCGTAATAGAGCCGCGTTCGTCTCCGGCCGGCTACACAATTTAACTACCGCTTAAAGTAAAATGCCCTTAAGGCACAAATTTTTCAAAATCAAAAATATATTTATTCAAATAGACGCTTGCGCGCTCTTCTGAATCGTCAAATTTTACATCAAAGATTATGTATATAGGTTCGTAAGGTACCACCGGTTTGGAAAGCAGTTTCTGTTGAGAAGAGACCGGCAAGAAACTAAACAGTTGCTCTTTTCGAAAAATATCAGGGTACAATATAATATACAGATATAATAGTCTTATTCTAGCCTACGTATTAACTCCACACATTGGCGTCGTCGAGGTATTCCGAAATGGTATAATATGCTTTTATCATAAGTTGATTTTTAATTTTACACTTTGTTATTATGTAAGACATGCGTACGACCTATTACGTCCTACGCATGCATGACCTCGCCCACACGCACCGCTTGTATAATTTTTGTTAATTGTAAAGTTGTAAATAGTACAAAATAAGTTCATCCGACGCGCAACCGGTGCGCACTGGTATCAACGCAACGTCGACCTGCACAGCGATTGCAGACTCCCGACGATTAGCGAATATTTTAAAGACCTGACCAAACGGTTCTTCGATAGAGCCGAACATCATCCCAACCCTCTGGTGGTAAACGCAGCATATTACCAAACCGACACAAACGCGAACGTCAACAAGCGTCGCCCGTGAAACGTCCTCATCGACCCGGTCGAAGGGGACTTAGAGATGTCGGACCCACCGCCGGGGGTCCCGCCGGATAACACTACACCCACAATTAGTGCAACAACAAACACACTAGTTCGCCTTTGTCTCCGAGCACGGCGAGACCAACACAACGCGTTCACAAGGTACACCCACGTTCCGGGGCGGTTCTCATCGCTCCCAGCCGCCGATTAGCTAATTGCACAGTCGACGGCTATCGGGGTTTCGGTCCGAACCGCGACCTCGATGGCCCTTAGATGACACACCATAGTTAAACACATGAGCACATGCGTGGCCCTACCCACAGCGGAGGACCCAAACCCGTGGGTTCTGGCTAGCCCATCAGTTCTGCGTCAGATGAAGCTTTAATAGTCTCGGGACTGAAAGCAACAACATCAGTTAATACAAGATATAAGAAATCACTTTACGTGGCACTCTAATACCAACTGATACCACAAAGATGTCAAAAACGATGAGTACCAACCTAACGAGCCAAACAGTTCTTAACAATAACTTCTTATTGATATCGATAAATATACAGGGTAGAAACAGAGGTTTCCACTAAACATTTTTTATTAATTTTAGGTAAGTATCGAATTCGTATTCATGTCCAATGTTGATGAGGGGATATTTGGTATTAATACGAGATTGGACTTAAATGCGGACCCGAAATAAGATAAAAAAATGTGTGCGTGTACTAGCGTACACTCGTAAGAAGTGAAACTTTTTTATGACGTTATTTTTAAAAAAATAATTTACTATATGCAACTTTACAGAAATAAATAGAAATTCTCCAATTATTTCATTTTAGCTTTGTATAATATTTAGTTTCTTATTTGTAATACATAGGTGGCGTTAGTAATAAATTAAAACACACTTTGGTTTGACCGTTGTAATTAGTATGAGGGTCCGCAAAAATTGTTGATTAAAAAACTTGCAACGTGAACCTTGTTTATTTCAATTAACCTCACGGACCCAAAATACAACCGCTTTGAATTTGTACATGGTCCTTCGTTGCCGAATAGTCAGCCAGTGAGTAGAAGGCAGACATTCGACTCGCGCGCGAGTGTTGTGAGTGAAGTTTTTTTTGGAAAACAGAACTTGCGGACGTTGGATCGACGTCGCAACCGCAAGTTCCAGGAGCCGATCGAGGTTTCGAAGAGCATCATCGGTCAGCTTCAGATTGTGTCTTCGGTGGAAGGCGCAGTCAGGTCACGGTGGGCGGTGCCTGCCTTTGGAGAAGAGGATTTCGACACAGTGTCGTGCTCTGAAGTATTAGAGCTAGCACTGTCATTACTACAAAGATTATTATTGAATTTCATTAATTGTAATAGAATTATTACTATCATTGATGTCGTTATTATATATTTGTGTTATTAATGGCTTATGGTAACTGAAATACGAAATATATTGTTTACATATTAGAATTAGAATAAAAATAAACCCTTTGATTTTGCTGATCACTTTAATATAACATATATATATATTGCTATGAACACACAAAGGAACTAACGCCATCTAGCGTCAACTATTAAAACCACTAAAGAATAAAGACGACATAAAACCCCCTATTCAACACTAGATGGCGTTAGAGGAACATTTTAAGATAAAAAAAAGATGGCGCGTAACGGAAAAATGTTACACTAAATTTTTTTCCAACCCCGATAAAGAAGTTTCACTTTAAAAACGGTTTCTGTTAATTCCATTAAAATTTTATTCTTGTCTCTTGATTCTTCAGCCAACGTCTGTTGTCAATAATTGAAACATAAAAACAGAATCAAAATCCTAAAAATATTTAAGTTTTCTTGCATATTCAGCGCACGAAATTAATTATATGGCGTATCAAAATTATAGAGATGGTTTCAAAATCCTGCAAAATTCACGTGTTCCGATCCTTGCTCATTTATGTAGGCACACCATTCAAATATGTAAAACATTGTGCCCCTACTCTTTTACGCAACATTTTATTTCTTATTTTTTTTCATTAATAAACATTAATGTAGTTATCGAAATGTGGATAATAAAGTTGCAGTATATCACTAACACACAATTTAAATAAATATATAATATTTAATAGATAAATTGGTTAATTTTATTAGTTCCTAGCCTGCTATAATTACATATGGCTGCAAAGTAGCATATTTAAGTGCTTACATGGGCTTCATCTAAGGGAAATCTCGCCATAAACACCTTTTTTCAAGGTTCGAATGACTTGCTTGATTTTCACCAATTTCACAGGTAATAAACCGTCTTTTTGGCATTTTGAATTAAAAGTACAACTCTGACTTGCTCGATTTTCACCAATTTCACAGGTAATAAACCGTCTTTTTGGCATTTTGAATTAAAAGTACAACTCTGATCACCTGTCACTAGTTTTCGTGAGAAAGTTTACTCTTAACAATTTAAATTTACAATGAAATAAGCATTTACATTCAAAATACGCGGTGTAAAATTAAGTTTTGACAAACAACATGGCACTTCTTGTATTGCAAGAAAGAGAAACCGCATTGAGGGAGAGTGATAGCAATGTCCACCATTATTTGCCGCGTAAAGTCCATAGAAAAATTTTTTGTTCCTAGTTTCGCCAGACTGCAAGAAATGATATTTTGACAAACAACACGGCTGACACTTGACTTGATGGAAGTATTGCAAGAAAGAAAAACCGCCCTGAGGGAGTGTGATAGCAATATCCGCCTTTATTTGCCACGTTAAAGTCCATAGAAAAATTATTTGTTAATATTAGTTTCGCCAGACTGGTTGCGAGGATAGAAACCTTCGTCTTCGGGGTTACGCGCTCGACGCTCTAACCGCTGAGCTAAACGGCATATCTTTTAAATGGACAAAAACCTCAACGTATTCATATCTTGTTTTTGTTGCATTTGCCAACTAATGTGTTTCGTTTACAGCTACTGACCATTTTTTCGTATGTAATTTTACAATGAAATATTTTAAAACTAGGCAAAAGCAACAATCTTTTCAATTGTTTATATGATTTAACGGTGGTAGGGCCACGCAGTAGTCTCGACTGTTGCACGAATGGGCAGGCTCGTCCGGGTAAGTACCACGACCTCACAGAAGACCGGCGTCAAGTGGAAGTATAATACTTTCGCGTTTCGTCTGGTGAGTGAGGTAGCCGGAGCCCAATTTCCAAAAAGGTTGTGAAAGCATCTGCAATCGATTTTACGCCCGCGAATCTACGCACATACTAAATTTCATGAAAGCCGTTTCCGAGATTCCGATTATAAATATATATATATACAAGAATTGCTGTTTAAGGGATAAGATAAATAGATTATGTAAAGAATTCATTCACAATAACAATTTCTTTTCGAGTTGTTTACTTGCTAAACACAGTGTTAACAGAAATATAATACGGGTGTTGTCACGTCCCATTATTACTTGCTACGTAAGGAGGATGAGTCAGGCGTGGCACTAGCAGGAGCTTCGCTCACGCATTGACCTTTGGGGCTGGCGAATTGATTAAGACCTCTGAAGGTTGGGGGAGGTGGACGATGGTTGCGCAGGAGATAGGCTTTTGAGACCCCTCTGCGACAATTGGGATTCAGGTGCTCATTGCGCGGGGCCTTAGAGCAGTTGGAATAGGTCGTGAGATAACCCTTGTTTTCGCGGGGTTTCGGTAATTATGCCGGACAGTTGGAACATCGTCCGAAGATTCTTATCTCTCTGAAATGACAAAAAAGAGTACTTGCTGAGTTTCTTTGGCCTGTTTCTACTCCGTTAGATGATCCTCTTTACGAAACAGTGGTAGATTTGAAAATAAATGATACCATAGATGAAAATGTTTCATACGTTGATTAACAAATGATTTTAATTTTCTTTACTAAAGAAAATATCGGCAGTGTAAAATTTCATAGCCGACTTCGACGGGGCATGCCCTTTTCAGCAGATTTCTGACACTAGGAATTTTGTATGTAATGTCAATGAACTTTTATTTTCTAAGATTGCAGTTCGATTGGTCCGCAGATTTTTTCAGGGTTAGGGTTTCAGATTGAATCTATGTTTTCTTTATACAGCAAAATACAAACAATAATCGAAGCAATGGGATTTTTTTTTCGATTGGACTGTTAAGATAACGCTGGCAATTTTGTTTTTATAACACAAAAACAGAGCGCACTCACCGGCGAGTGCGGCAAACTTATACTAGATTCTGCCACGTACCTGAGAGGTTTTCTCCCGTTAATGATAGAACCGTTGCTGGAGTTTCTTCTCCCAGCGCTAACGCTTTCCGAAGTTGTAGTAATGATAATTAAAGAATTATTTTTAGCGAGACAATAGCTACCGAACGAGCCCAGGTCCGGCCCTCTTGGTTAAAGTGAGAAGTATGCGAGATTACTAGGATTTATGAAAGTTAAAGTTTGAATTGATTGACAAAAAGATGTGGGAGTTAGAATATATTCAACGAAGCTTACTGGACTGTTATTAATTCAATTTTATTTTCAGAAACAGATGCGGTTGAATGTGAGCCCTAAAACACAGCATCGTCTCCAGTGGGTGGTTATATAACGCGCGGTGCTATACAGTGCCGGGGGTGAAATTACTGGTTTTAGACTATAACACGGGAATAATAAGTCTCTTTAATACTTTTGAGTGTTTTGTGAATGGCTCCTCTGTATTACAAGTGATTTGGTTTAAAGTTCATTGCAAGAATAAATTACGGTTGTTTTTGAAGTGTTTTGGTTTCCTTTTTTAGAGTTCCGTACACAAAGGGTAAAACGGTACCCTATTACTAAGACTCCACTGTCTGTCTACCAGTATGTCACCAGGCTGTATCTTATGAACCATGATAGTTAGATAGTTGAAAATTTCAGATGATGTATTGCTGTTGAAGGTACAACAACAAATACTAAAAACAGAATATAAAACATTTAAGCGGTGGTGCCATACATCAGATATAATTTTTTTTTGCCGATTTTATAGATGTTTAATGATACGGAAACCTTTATTCGAGAATATTATATGAAACCTTTCCAAGAACAGTTCACGATTCTACATAGAGATATCGCGTTTGCTCTTAAAATTTGAGGATTAATTTTTGTTTTAGTCTCTGCACTCATGAATTTTCTTGATGAATGCGAATGTGCTGGCGCGTTCCCGGGAAGATGCAAGCTTGCAACCCACAGCGGCGAATGTTTTCGTTCTATTATCTACAAAAATTCCCGTTTTAAGGCACGTCATGCCAAGCAATTCTATACCTATTGCAATGTTTTTTTTTGCAAAAAAACAACAGTTTTCTATGTAGTGATGGTTACAGCATTTACCGAAACTATAAAATTAATGTACATTCACTGTGCTCTGGTGAGAAAAGAGGTGATGGTCGTAATAGGATTTTCCTTTGGCTGCTGCTGATTTTGTACTAGATGTTTCTAGTAGACTATTGATTCTATATAAGTTTGTGAATTATACTGCGTCAGATGAAGCTTTAATAGTCTCGGGACTGAAAGCAAAAACATCAGTCAATACAAGAAGAAGTGAATTATACATCACAAAAAAAAAATAACAAAAAAGAGAACAAGACCGCAGAGTTTCTTGTCGGTTCTTCTCCGTTCAGGTCTAGTTTAGTGAACCAGTGGCAGTTTTTTTTTGACGTTCATTAAGAGCCAAGTTAAGTTTACTTATATTGAATATAGATATTTTGATATTGACTATTGACTGATCTAGGAAGGCCGCGTTTAGTTTTCTCGGGTATAAAATTTCTCCCCGTTACGAACCCGATCGCTAGAGATAGAGGACTGTATAGAAGTGAATAAAGCGGTCGGTAGTTAGCGCGATTTAGACACGGATCTGTAGGAATACGCTAGTGAACGAGCAGAGGCAGGAACACTTGACGGTGGCTAGTAGATCGAAGACCAAAATACAATCAAAAACGCGCACTTGAGCCGACTCATGAATACTATTCTACCTTTATGCAGACTAACTTAGAAATCATTCTCTAAAATAAAGTTGAATCACAAATGCTGTATATTTTTTACATTTATTTGGTTCATGTAAACAAGAATTTATACAAAAACAAAATTTAATTTAAAACACGTCTGAATGTTGAATAACCAAACTAATTGTAAAAATAAGTTATAATATTCAAAAGCAACAAAGTGATGTTTAAGAGGCATCTTTGAGCAGCATTCGTTTTAGTGCTAGTCATCACATGAACGGCTTCCCGGAGAGCTGGCTTAGAAGGATACGTCATTAAGACTGATGGTGTAAGTTCTTCATTCTTTTTAACTTTTTCTTCCAGCCATGCCCTAAATGTATATATTGGTAGAAAATCTATCATGAATTTATTAATAGAATAACGCGACGTGATTTCTCTAGTGCAATCTTCTTGACCTCTAACTACAACACCTACAAGCTGATTGTCGTATATCACTGGACCTCCAATATCTCTAAAACATGTCAGTATCTTAGTTTCCACACAATCAATGAAGGCGCTGTAATAATTGTCGTTCAGCGAAGCGCGACGCTCTAAGCCTGCATACTGCAGTTCCTTGAGTTGACCAGGGTCAGTATTTAAACCGAATCCAAGTGCTTCTACGTCTAAAAGCTGATCGCTACTAGTCATATTGCTCAAACTAAGCTTTGAGGCAAATGAGTTATTGTGTTTCTCCGTAAATATAATTCCAACATCTTTGCCTGTCCCTGGTCCGGTATATGTCGGAAATTTTTCGCTCTTTATTATATGTAGAGCAACCGAGGTATTGTCCTTTTTGGTTGCAGTTACATTAAGTAAAACATAATTTATCTGTTTTTGTACGCACTGCGCCGTTGTAAGGACAAGTCCATTGGATACAATCGAACCTGCGCATAAATATTCATGTTGCTGGGACATTATTGCTGCCATGAAAGGAAACTGTTTAACTGTTGCCGTTCGAATTTCATGCATTTGGCTGTTATGTCTTCTAGTACATGTAGCGTTGCCTGGTTCGGTTTCAATTGGAATATCCATAGATTCATCCTTGCCCTCCTCGTTTGTATCGCCGTTATCGTCTCTGTTTTCATACACGCTCTTTTTCACATTTTCACTTGCACAAATATCAATATATTGTAAAAAAAGTAAATTAAATATCAAGAAACACGTTAAGAGAAATTCTTGCCTCATCATAATTTATTTCAAAACTTATTTTTTATCAAGATGTTTGAAATTCTTAATTCACTTCTTTGTTACTATTTAGTTTTTCTTCTTTGTTACAGCATTTTAAAATTTTTTGACCAGTAACTTTAAAAATAAATTTAGGACCAGTTCAAATCGAATCGACTATTTAAAAATTTTACTGCGTTATAATTATATATATATATCTATATATATATATACTATAAATTTATTTTATCTATTAAAGAATTTTTAAACATAGAACTAATAGAATTTTCATAATTAGGGTAAAAGATATTAATTATACACGGAAACAATTAAGTCCTATTATAGCAAATGTTATGAATATGCGTATGTTTGAAAAGTATTTATCCCGATCAGTTAAAACATGCAATTGTACACCCTATATATAAGTCCGGAAACCACTTAGAATATGTTAATTATAAAACTTTTAGCGACTCGCTCCGGCTTCGCACGGATGCAATGTATTATACATATAAATCTTCCTCTTGAATCATATCTATCTAGTAAAAAAAACCGCTTCAAGATCTGTTGCGTAGTTTTAAAGATCTAAGCATACATAGGGTCAGACACACAGCGGGGCAACATTGTTTTATACTATGTAGTGGTAGCCATATTATCTGTTATTGATAAAATTAAAAAAATATATTGTAAGCCAGATTACTAAATTCTTAGAATGTCGTAATATTTTGTCAGACGCTCAGCACGGTTTCCGCCCGGGGCGCAGTACAGTTTCAGCCCTAACGGAATTTGCCGATTACATTAACGAGTCCTTGGACGCTGGTAAACAAATTATAACACTTTTAGATTATAGATTATAAAAAGGCGCTTGACACGCTGGATCACGATTTTCTGCGACAGGCGATGGATGAATGTGGAATATGAGGCCCTACGAATAAATGGTTTAGGAACTACTTGTGTAATAGGAAAATGAGTACGATGATAGCAGGCGTGACTAGTGAGGATATGCATGTGAATTTGGGGATGCCGACTGTATCAGTATTTGGTCCATAAGACTATGTGATGCATGTGAATAGTGTCAAATGTCAAAATCAAAATCAAAAATACATTTATTCACATTGACGCTTCCGCGTTCTTATGAAATGTAAAAAAATTTAGATAAAAATTAATACGTTCGTAAGTTACCACCGGTTCGGAAAGCAGTTTCTGTTGAGAAGAAACCGGCAAGAAACTCAACAGTTGCTCTTTCTTAAAACGATAAGTTTACAATATAATAGAACAAGTATGTCATTTTAGCCTACGTGAGTATCAACAGCATTGGTGTCGTCAAGATATTCTGCAATGGTATAATATGCCTGAGCCATAAGTTCGCTTTTAATTTTGCGTTTAAATTCATCTATTGTGGGATCTCAATACCGATTGTGGGATTTTATTATACATGCGCACACTTTGCCCCATGAACGATCTATTTACTCTTTTTTAGACGAAACAATGGTGTAATTAATTTGTCCTTATTTCTAGTATTTAATTTATGTCTGTTACTATTCTTTAGATAACAATTAAGATTATGTCTAACGTAAAAGACATTACCCCCTTGGATGACGGATAATGTGCGAAAGGCAATGGCTAGGCGAAATCGAGCTTTCCCTCGGTTTAAGAATAATCGTACTGAAGAAAACTGGGCAGCTTTCAAACAAGCCAGAAATAGGTGCAATCAGATGGTACGTGCAGCTAAACGCCGCTATATCCATAATAATATAATAAACTCTTCTCCAGCTGATGTGTGGAAATTTCTAAAATCTTTTGGTATCTCTAATTCATCTAATGTTTGTGGTTCTTCTATTTCTCCAGACCCCAGTCACCGAAGATGAGACTAAGAAAGCCATTCTGGCAATCAAATCCAGAGCTGTGGGTTGTGATGATGTGAGTAGAATTATGATAGTAAGCTTGTTAGATATCCTTGTTCCTGTTGTAACTCACATTATAAACTTTTCTCTTGAATCAGGTCAGTATCCATTGATATGGAAAAAAGCATTTGTACGGCCACTTCCTAAAGTCCCTAATCCTGTACAATACTAGTCCTATTCAATACTAGATGGCATTAGAGGAACAACTGTGGAACTATAGTCTGGAAAACCGGGTACATTCGCGAACTTTCCGGAATCACGATCATGTTCGCGCGTGTCGGGTACGTTCCAGGAAGGAACATTCTGGAATAGTCTGGGGCTCGTCTCGGCCCATATAAAAAGCCGCAGAGAGGCAAGACAGACAGTTCAGTTTGAGCTTCCTTCGAGGCGACTTCGGAGCGAAAACTAGTGATCAAGAGTGATACCAGTGAAACCTACGACTTGGCTACAACCTAGGACATCGTTAGTGCTTATTGATTGGACCTAGTGCTTTGTGTTGGACCTAGCGCTAGTGAATAAAGTCTTAAAAAGAGTCAGCAGGTCTTTCTCTCCAAATCCTTCGAACCCTAACACGTAACAATATATTAGGACGCAACAGTGAGTATATTAATCTCTTTAAAAATATCTCTGAGTGTATCCCGGGCTCCGATGTTATAGATTGCTCGGACAGCTCTTTTTTGAAGAATAAATATAGAATTAATATCAGATGCACTACCCCACAACAAAATGCCGTACGATAAGATGCTGTGAAAATAACTAAAGTAAACAAGTCTGGCAGTGTCGATGTCTGTTAGCTGTCTAACCTTCCTAATAGCAAAAACAGCGGAGCTTAGCCTACTCGCAAGAGATGATAGATGAGGACTCCACTGAAGCTTTGAATCTACTGTAATCCCCAAGAAAACTGCAGACTCAACAGGCTTGAGGGATACGTTATTTAATAATAAACTAAAACTTTGCCTTCTCACACTAGGAAGACTAAAAAGAATACATATAGTTTTTTTGGCATTTAATACCATATTATTTATGGTGAACCAGTGAAGGATATGCGAAAGTGCACCATTTACGTCGTCATAATTGGATAAATTTCGGTTAACCTTAAATATGAGTGATGTATCGTCAGCAAACAGTACGACATCACAAAACTCACTGGCATAGGAGGGGATATCATTTATATATACTAGAAATAAAAATGGGCCCAAGATTGATCCTTGTGGCACACCCATTTTCATGGGGGACCCTGAGGAATCAACATCATTTATAGATTAAAACATATTCAAAATTGTTTGTATGCTGGAAAGGATATAACAATAGATGCGCCAAGCATTGCTTCAAATGCTAAATAACAATGTAGAAAGATGTAGAAAGATGGATGGAAGATTTTCGTCGCTGTGGCTATCAGACGTTTAGCTTAATGGCTAGAGCGTCAGGCCGAGAATGCCGAAGATGTGGGTTCGATTCCCACAGCGGCGACAATCTTTTCGTACTTTTTCTACATGTTTTAATGTTCAATCTTAAGTGCAAAGATTAGCACTATAAAAAAAAACTTTAAAATCATTTAAAGGTACTTTTTGAATTTTATTACTAAGGTAAGAGGTGATGAGATTGAGGGCGCTGTCACGAATGCCATAATAATCTAGCTTAAAATTACTTATTATTACTTATTAAAACTTAAATTAAATATTAGATTATTACTTAATGTTGTAAACAAGTGCCGCGTTTTTATGTTTGCCGATGATATGTGTATTGTTTATGCTTCCAAGAATATATCAGAGGTACAAAGCTATGTACAAGAAGATTTTGATCGTTGAATCTGTCAAATAGCAAGTGCATGCATATACACTCACCGTACAATTGAAAAGTTGAAATCATTATTGTAGAACAACTGCATAAAATTGTCCACTCATATGAATGTCTAAATGCTAATAAAATCGACTGTAGGTGTGATAAATTAGATTATATCAATACATTTAAATATTTAGGCTTAACGATTGATCGAAATTTTAACTAGAAAACACATATGTAATAAATTAACACCCATGGTATGTAAGTTTTATCAATTAAATGCAGTTGTAGACAAGCACACGCTACGACAAAAAAGTTGAAAGTCGTGTCACTCATTTGTTCGCGCCTGACCGCTTAGCTCCCGCCCCCTCACTGCACCCTAGTCGACGCAATTTTAGAAGCAGGAATGTCCAATTCCGATACTCACAAGTTGCGATCGACGTGACGTGCATTATACTAGTATCTTTCTTACTTCAATTAGAGATCATGTACCATCGACAATATTGTTTGTAGGGGCAAGTTTTAGTCAGTCCCATCCGTTAAGTTTATCTTTTGTTATAAATTGAAGCAAATTGAGGTGGCTTAATTACTGGCGCAATAAATTTTACACTTTATTATATATTTTTTTCTTTATTCGCCCATAGACACATGCATAGTTTGCCTTAAGGATAATCCACCTCTGCCTGTAACGCACTAGTAATGCAGTTACCATGTTTGTTAAGCCTTGTGATGAACTAGAATTTAAAATTTTTAGCGATGGGACAGTAACTGAAATAAATAAAAATCAACTTATGCATAGGTATGTAAATTATCTTTATTTATTAATTAAAATGGTTTTCATTATAAAAAGGCAAACAATACAACTTATTGCATTTACAGCATTCTGATTTTATTTTTTTAATCTTTTTATCGTCCTGTTTACTTATGAGGTTAACCGTAACTGCGTACCAGCGGACGCAATTTTTCCGTAAAATGATGTTTCGTTCTCATGTTGATGTGTTGAAAATTGGGCTCCAACTACCTCACTCACCAGACGAAACATGAAAGTATTTGTCATACTTCTACTTTACGCCGGTCTTCTGTGAGGTCGTGGTACTTACCTGGACGAGCCTGTCCATTCGTGCAACAGCTGAGGCTGCGTGGCCCTACCACAGTTAATTCGTGTGTCATGTCAACTCAACGGTAAACCTAAGCCGGATAAGCACTGAAGATTAGCCTGGAGTTACTGGCCCGTTAATCTTGTTTCCGGCATGGAGAAAATTAATGAGCAATTTGCCCTAGCAAGGATTAAAATATGCATTATTTCATTAAATATGATTCCCGACAAGCAATCCTTTTAAGTCAGTCAGTTCTGTACAACAAAGTCTGACATAAGGGGTAAATTTATAAGCTATGAATGCCAGACAGGCTCATACAAAAAAAAATCGTTCGACACTACTTTTTTGAGCTATCTCATCGGAGAGGATCAGTATTTTATCCAACATTTTATTCCCTGTACACTAGCGATAGCCCTAAGAACCCTCGGGTGGAGATGGCACTATACGCTGAATCTGTCTACCTTGAAAAAGACTTTAAATGCAATTGATTACGGTTTATAATTAAATAACTTGGAAAAATAGGCAAATGTCAATTATGTCGGTGTCAGTGAGCACGCGAATCCTAAAAATTTTACTCTCATATTTTTTTTCAAAGCGCGTATAACTTCAATAATAAAATACTTTAACAACTCTATTATAATACTTTATTCTATTAACGAATGAAAATGAAGGAAGAAGAAAGATGCTAAATGGTGGTCGTTGTCCAATTTTTAGAGTTCCGAACCCGAAGGGTAAAACGGGACCTTATTACTAAGACTTTGCTGTCTGTCTGTTTGTCCGTCTGCCATCAGGCTGTGTCTCATGAACCATGATAGTTAGATAGTTGAAAATTTCAGATGATGTATTGCTGTTGCCGTTACAGCACAATTTGACAATTGAAAACACAATTTGACAAGACAATTGAAATTTTTACAGATCGTGTGTTTTTGTTGCTGTTATAACAACAAATACTATAAAACGGAATAAAAAATATTTAAGTGGGGCAGAGAGAGATGATTTTTTACCGTGTTTATAGATAAGGGTACGCACGCACTTGGCCGTTTTTTTTTTACGGATGGAACCCAGCTGTTATCCCGAAAAGTTAATCGGTTGCCGAAGTTTGTAAACGGTTCGTCGTTCATGCCCACCCCTACTACTAAATGCTAGTGTCACATTTGTTAACAGTTAACGTCAAGGTACATGACACATGACCACTACATGTACTTGACAGAAGTTGACATAATATTTCTCTTTTCTATGAGGTGGCAATCATATATTTCGTGAATTTTGAAGAAAAGTAATTGTAACAGTCATGTCGAAAAAAAAAGGTAATAAGAAAAACAAAGATTTTGATGATGTCTTGGAAGAAAAAAGGTCAATTATTGACACTACTGATATAACCTCAAATAGTAAAGTAAAAAGTAAAAAGAAAGTTAAAGTAAATGCAGATTTAAGTGATAACGAAGAACTTGGCCAAACCAATAAAATCGATGCAATAGCTGATACTGAAGAAGATGCTAAACCTGTTACAAAGAAGACGCAAAAAAAATGTTAGTATTTTATACACATTTTGAATTATTTAGTATTTGAATACTGTTTAATATAACTAACATTAATGCGTTTTTAGTAAAAAATAAAAAGAAAGGGGACATTTCTGACGACGAGCAAGAAGAAAGTAAACCAAATAACAGTGCAAGTGTTGCTGTTAAAAGTTTGAAACAAAATAAAAAAAAGAGAGGTTGGTTCCTTATTTTTTCTTTCAAGTTTAATTCATATTTAATAATGGATATTTGAATTATTTATAACTTTAGTAGCTAATTAATTTTTAGGTTTTAACGTTTTCAAAAAAATAAGTTAATTTTGTTTCTACCCTTTTGATGACATGGCACACTGTTTCTATTGACATATGTAACATATTCAATATTAGCATTCTTCCAATGGAATAGTGACTCAGTTTTCATATAAAAAAGTGCTACCCTTTTGATGACATGGCACACTGTTTCTATTGACATATGTAACATATTCAATATTAGCATTCTTCCAATGGAATAGTGACTCAGTTTTCATATAAAAAAGTGCTATCTCTATATCATACAATAATTTTGCTAATATTTTACTCTCATATTTAATTTTATTTATACATGGAAAACTTACAGCTAACATACAACAATTAATATGCAATAAATTGAAAAGGGTTAGCCATTTACAATTTTTTGCAAATAGAAAATTTCTGTTAATTGATTGAATTATTTCAAAATATGATGAAATAACTGGTTATTTCGTTTAACAGGAGTATCTTACATTTTTATTGTTTTAGGTAAAGGTAAAAAAGGTGATGACTTGTCAGATGAAGCTAGTGATGTTGAGTTACAAGAAAAGTCAGATGATGAAGTTGCCAAACCTGTTAGTAAAAAGAAATGTAAGTTTAATGTTAGTGTAATTGTATTGTAGTGTAAACATTTATGAAACACTTGGGTAAATCAATTTTTTTTTACATTATGACTCTGTAAGTTAATGATGTAGTGACAAGAAATCTTAACTACAAAATGTTGATTTTACAGGAGTCAAAAAAATGTTTCATAAATTGTGTTTTGCCTTTTTTTATTTGTTTTAACAATAAATTTTGGCAAATGTAAATAACTTTAACTCTGGCGTAATTCAATTAAAATACCGCCAAATTCATTAGTGATTTTTCTGCATCGTTTAAAATTTATTTTAATTGAATTACGCCGGAGTTAAAGTTATTTATGTTTAACTAAATTTTTAATTAAAAGAGGGCTATTTTAATGGTATAACAGCACTTTCTGTACCATGTCGAATTATCGAATTACTGGTAGATAGAAGCTATTGTTTTTGAATATGGCAAATTATAATCTATCATAATCAGTACACAAGGTATTGCAAATAAATACATTATTAAATGTTTATAGATTTAGTTCAAATTAATCAACAATAAGCAAGTGTTAATGGATAAAGATAAAAAGGTATTGAAAACTTTACTCAAATGACAACCTGTCTAAGAAAGTGTGGCAGTCACATGGAAAAGCTGTCAGCAGTGCATTTGTCAAAAGTGTCACAATGAAAGATCTTAGAAAATCATAAAATGGCTCCATGTTGAAAGTTGCCATACTTTTATTGTTATTTGAATTACACACTTTATTCATTTCATTTCTTTTCACACAGGACTTCGTGTTTTTTTTAAATCCATATATTATAGAATTTTAAACTAGAAATGATTACTTATGTAAATAAAAAATATATATAAATATATTTTTTATTTACATATTAACATATTACATAGAATGATGCTAGAAATAAAGCTGTTAGTATTTACATAATTTTATATTTACATATCTTAAAAAAAATTGTATTTAAACTCTTTTCAGCCAAAAAAAAGAAAGTTGTTGATGAAAACTCCGATGATGAAGACCATGATGATTCTAAATCAGTCATTAGTAATTCTTCAAGTAAGCAACAAGTCAAGTCTAAGGGGAAAAAAGGTCAGTTTATATAGTAACTAAATGTGTTACTTTATTTAAATGAAGTATAATGTTAGTGGGTGAAAAGTTTTGAAAAAGAGCAACTGTTGAGTTTCTTGCCGGTCTCTTCTCGACAGAAACTGCTTTCCGAACCGGTGGTACCTTACCTACCTATATACATAATTTTTTATGTAAAATTTGACAATTCATAAGAGCGCGCAAGCATCTATTTGAATAAATATTTTTTTTATGTATAATGTGGTATTTTAAATAATGTTATGGGCTGTTGTTTTGTTACGTAAAGTTTTCAATGTCAGAGATTTTAGCTTCTTGTGATCTTAGAAAAATTTGCAGTTGTTAATGCTGAATGTAAAATATAAGATTCACACAGAAGAAAATAGAATAAAGTAAACCATAATTTCTAGTAAGAAACATGGGTGTATTATTATGTTACTCAATCAAGACATAAAGGAGTAGGAAAGAGAAAATATGAAAACATGAGATTTTTCATTGCTTAAACTATTTAGCAAATTAATTATGACAAAATTTTTGTCAATATTATTAAAATGTAGGATTTTAAGTGCATTTTTTTATTTTTTCAGGTAAAGGAAAAAAGAATGATGACTGGTCTGACGATGGCAGTGATGTAGAACTTAAGGAATTTTCAGATGAAGAATTTGCAAAACCTGTTACCAAAAAGAAATGTAAGGGTGTTAATTTATTTGTCCTTAGAATAAATAATGACGGTTGTTATTTTGCTTTCATAAATATTGATAAGAAAGTGTAGGTACAAGAACATATAATTTTAATGCAATATTTAAAATTTGTATTTTTTTTTTCATACATAAAGTATATTTAATGTAATGATTTATTATTTAGTTGTCCTAAAAATGACTGCAGACTACATATTACTAAAAGATATTATTTATCATGTTTTAATTTTAATTCCCGTTTATCCAAGAGCATTAGGTGCTACCATCAGCTTGAGGTTCCATCATTAATAAAATTTTATCTAGTCTCAAACGACCCATTACTGCAAAATAAGATTCAATGAGTATCTTCAGCATAGATGGAACATAAAATTATTCAATTTAAAAATTGGATGTAGTCCGGGCTAACAATGACGTTCAAATGTCTAACGCTTCAATTCTTACCTTGACCATGAGCGCTGTAAATAGTTCGAAACTTCGGGATACTATCATTTAAAATTTTGGAACCATGAATTCCTAAAATGTTGTAGTGAAAAATAAAAAGAAATTAGCAGCTGCTGATTCTTCAGATGAAGAAGATCATGATGATTCTAAATCTGTAGCTAGTAATGTGTCCAGCACTGTTGCACAGCCATCTTCCAAGTTAAAAAATAAAAAAGGTAAGTTAAGATACATAAAAACTATTTTAAAAAATGGTCATATTCAATTAATTTAATAGTCACAAATTATAATAATCATAGTATAAAAAAGAAAGCCACATGTTCTGGCCACTCTAAATGTAACTTTGTTTTGGGCAAAATATTTGCTTACATATTTAATTCTTGGGTTAAACTTGCTTTCGTATTTAATTTAGGTTTACTGTTAAAATATTTTACTTCATAAATTTATCACAGTTCTACAACATTATATGAATAGGTATATTCAAATTGTATTCATGCATTTTTAGGTAAAGGTAAGGGAGATTGGCCTGATTCAGAAAGCGATAAAGAGTTGAAAATGGAAGCATCTGATGAAGAAGAGATTCTCAAACCAGTAGTCAAGAGCAAAGGTAAGAAAGCTCACATTGCTTGAGTGATTGAGCATACTAAATAAAATGAGTGCACACAGGCTCTCTGGCACTGAACTACAAAGCCTAAACAAATACTTCAAAGATATGTGAAGTCTGTCAATCCCCAATGGGATTGATAGACTTTATTTGCAGACTATTGACAGACTGTGCCACAATACCCTCTGCCAAATGGAGGCCATTGCCCTATTGAGAAAAGTAAAGTTGTTACTACTAACTTAAAATTAACAATTTTTTGGTGCCTGCCCTGTGAATTAAACTCCGGTTGCTCAATTATATTGAATAAAAAATGAGCGCATGAACAATGAGCTATCATGGCCCTACATAAAATTAAAAAAAAAAAAAAGTCGTTGAAAAAAAAACGTTGAACTCAGTCGAAATAATAGAAAAAAGAACTCTATAGTTTAGCAACAAAACAACAAAAGGAAAGTGTAAACTAGTTATGAAATTGATAATTTCAAGTATTTTTGCAGTAGTTAATATTTCAATCCATACCACTTTAGGTAAAAATAAAAAGAAAAACAATATAGATGACATTGAAGAAGAACTGAAAAAGTTTGAAATAAAGGATCCCGAACCTGAAGAAGAAATTATGGAAGAAAAGGTATGTAATCACTTCAGATTGAAAGTTATATGAGTCAATTATATTACGCCATTACACCTAACTAAATGAAGTTATTTTACAGATTTTTTAATGTTCACTTTTAATATTTCTCAAAGTTTTGAACCCTTTTCAGCGTTGATGGTCACAGGACAGACTAAAATTAAAATTAAATTTAATTTTTTTCTATGATTTTAAATAAAAATTGCAAACAGGACTGACTTAGGTGTAATGTCATTAAAATCCAGTTATTGATGTGTACATTAGTTTAGTTATATATATGTTGAGTTTTGACTTCCTTGTTCTAATTTGTAACATATTCTAACAGGAAGAAAAAAGACCCCAACAAGAAAATGTCGACGCCTCTGAGAAAAAAATGAGCCACAAAGAAAAGAAGAAACTTAAGAAACAACAGGAGTACGAAAAGCAGATGGAGATGCTAACGAAAAAGGGCGGGCAGGGGCACAGTGAGCTAGATGCGAACTTCACCGTCAGCCAAGCACAGAAATCTGCCGGTGAGTGTACAACTTCAAACGTATCCAATGAATATTTCCTTTCCCCCGCGATGTTTGTGACGTTCACATGAATCGCATTCTGACGCCGAACTCCCCAGGTCAAATGGCCGCCCTCGAGAACGCGGTGGACATCAAAGTGGAGAACTTCACGATAAGCGCGAAGGGCAAGGACCTGTTCGTGAACGCGACACTGCTCGTGGCGAACGGGCGGCGCTACGGCCTCGTGGGGCCGAACGGCCACGGGAAGACCACGCTGCTGCGTCACTTGGCGCAGCGCGCGTTCCCCCTGCCGCCGCACATCGACATACTGCTCTGCGAACAGGAGGTCACAGCGAGCGAAATGAGCGCCGTGGACACCCTGCTCGAGTCGGACGTCAAGAGGACCGGTGAGTTTGCGGCCGGTGTTTTAGTTTTTTTTTAATGTGCGAATCGACGTCAAAACGACCGGCGCGCTTGTGGCCAGTGTTTGAGTCTTTTTTTTATGTGTGAAGGTGCCAAGCGAGCTGGCAGTTTAACTTTAATTTGTTTGTTTAACTTTTAAACAATAGACGTGTATGTGTATATATATATAAACTTAAATAAGTAAAAGTATTATCATTTCGTTATTGTAAATATTATTTTACATTATAAAATTCTCATGACATAAAGTGGCACTTATGTCATGGGCATTAATTCACAGTCAATCTAAAAGATAAAAATTGTGACGCACTTGGTGCAGTGGTAGAAACGCTGGAAAAAAAACACTAATTGACAATTATTAATAATATATTATTTTACTTTCAGCTCTACTCAAAGAATGCAAGGAGTTAGAGGCTGAGACGGAAAAAGGGAATTTAAGCAAACAGGATAGATTAAATGAGGTGAATACAATATTTTCAGTGTACATTGAAATATTTCATAATTTCTTAAACATTGTCTACGTAATTAAAATAATATATAGTTTTATATGAAAAACAATAACATCACACATGAGAAAGTTAGTAATAAACAAAACATGTTAATTATGAATAATTTATTGTAATAAAATTTATTTATGTATTTTATAACATATAGTTGACATTAAGCACAACAGGGCAAGTAAGTCTTCAGTCTGTGAACACACACAATAACATTACATCAAATTTCATATACAACAAAAGTTCAAAGGTACACCGTTACCGATTATGGGTGATTTGCGAAGCTGCCGCCGCCCATGGACATTTGCAACCCCGTAGGTTTGCAGCTGCGTTGCCTCATTTTGATTAAGTGGGCTCCGGTTACCACACTCGCCAGACGAAACGAACACTTCCATTTCGCGCCGGTCTTCCGTGAGGTCGTGGTACTTACCCGGGCGGAACTGCACATTCGTGCAACAGCGAACACTGTTGCGTGGCCCTACCACAGTCGTTATACTTATTCTGTCCATATGGCGAGTGAGATAATTTGAGCCCATTTTTTGAAGGTTGATCTATGGCCTTATCTACAACCCCACAAAAATAGTAATGTCCATGGGCGGGCGACAATCACTTAGCATCTGGTGAACCACCTGGTCGTTGACTACCAAAAAGGTGCGAAGGATGGCTCAAATGGCTACCTATTTATTATATTTATGTAAGTGTCGATCGACTTCTAATAAGGCCCTACGACGTGTACGCATTTAAGTGGCGAGTCCATTCGGTATTGCATTGCAGGTGTACGCCGAGCTGAAGGCGATAGGCGCCGACGCGGCCGAGCCCCGCGCGCGGCGCATCCTCGCCGGTCTGGGCTTCAACCGCGAGATGCAGGACCGCGCCACCAAGAACTTCTCCGGGGGCTGGCGCATGAGGGTGTCGCTCGCCAGGTGGGACTTGTTTCAACTTGTACCGAGTTTATTTCTTCCTTTGGGCGCGTGTGTGACGAATTGGATGAGTTCCTCGTTTTACGCGAATGTAATACGTATTAAATTTAAGATTTTATCGCGTTTTTTTTTTTTTTGAAATTCCCGACGTTTCGAACCCGCTATAACAATAAATACTTAAAAAAAATATATATATATATAAGTGAAGCTGACATGATTTATTGCCGTTTTTATAGATGTTGGTAAGCAACACTTTGTGCGCGAGTTCGACTCACATTGCGCGCGTTTTTTAATACATATTTGTTATAGAAGGAATATTAGTGTTTCTATCCACAAACTAAAATATACAATAGACTTTACGTAATACAATCTTATTCTTCCATCTTTACATCACCAAATTACACCGTAATTGGCTTTTGCAAATTCACGAAAACTTTCAGTTACATGGCACTTTCTATATCGATCGTTTAGCTGTGAGTTTCTAAGTTAGCCAATTTTAAGATGCGCGACACCGACATAACACCACCTTACACCTTCAACATCACCTTACTAATATTTTTAGTATGTGTCAAATTAGGAGTACATTCTTTTTTTTATTAATATCTGCCTTTTATTCCAGAGCTTTGTACATTGAACCAACTCTGCTACTACTCGACGAACCTACGAATCACTTGGATCTCAATGCCGTCATTTGGTTGGACAAGTGAGTATTACTTTTTGTTTTTTAGTGGAAAAGCAATGAAATGTAAAATTTTATCATTAAAAAATTGTAATACATTTTTGTTTTTAATTTAATTTCATAAATGAGAAATTACGATTATGATTGAATGAATTTATGACTGAGAAATGAAGTATTTCTTATCTTTTTGGATCAATTTAAATAAAACAAAATAAGTAATTATTCGGTTCTCGTTTCAGTTACCTCCAAGGCTGGAAGAAGACGTTGCTCGTAGTGTCTCACGACCAGTCGTTCTTGGACAACGTTTGCAATGAGATCATCCATTTGGACCAGCAGAAGCTCTTCTACTACAAGGGCAACTACTCGATGTTCAAAAAGATGTACGCTCAGAAACGCAAGGAGATGATTAAAGAGTATGAGAAACAAGAGAAGAGACTGAAGGAAATGAAGGCGCATGGCCAGTCGAAGAAGCAGGCCGTAAGTGTCAATTTACCGTGAACGTTGCCCTCTCGCTCGCGCCGCATTATAAATGGTTTTCTGTCTCTATACAGTAAAATGATTACATATTTTTATACCCGATGAAGGAGTGAAAAACTCCTAAAAAATTAAAAAGAAACCCTTTATGGTTCATGAAGTGCTAACTTATCACGTGTAAAGCGGTGAAGGAAAACTGCATATTTACGAAATAACAAAAAAAAATCGAAGATATGTGAAGTCCGCCAATCCGCAGTGGGGTCGCATGGTGGACTATTCCCTAGTACCCTCTGTACAGAGGAGGCCTTTACCCAGCTGTGGGACATGTATAGCTGTAAAAAAATAAAAAAAACTTTTTTTACCCAAAATAAGAACAGCGTTAGCTATATGAGTTCGAGTTCAACTGTGAGTTGTCTGTCTGCAGGAGAGGAAACAGAAGGAGGTGCTGACGCGCAAGCAGGAGAAGAACCGCAGCAAGTCGCAGCGCGAGGAGGCTGACGAGGGCGCCGCCCCCATCGCCCTCCTGCAGAGGCCGAAGGAGTATGTCGTCAAGTTCAACTTCCCCGACCCGCCGCCGCTGCAGCCGCCCATACTCGGATTGCACAGTGCGTTCCTCTACACTGTCTTTGGTTTGCGCAGATTATCAAATGGAAAGAGAGGGGGAGAGAAAGGGAAACAGGGAGGGAGAGGGAGAGATGAATTATCAAATAGAGAGAGACAGATAGAGTCAGGCAGAAACGAAGAGAAAGTGCTTTGTTCCTTTTATGTCTTTATTACTAGTTTAAAGGTGTGAGTTTCTAAAAAAGATCTTTCTCATCGGATCGTCCTCATTTTGTGGTGGTTTTACAAAGCCGAACTAAGCAAATACACAGAATCTCCAAGAAGTTATTTTTGCAGGAAATCTTGATACTTTGTACATTACAATGTTTCAAATAACTATTACTTTCTTCATAAACTAGCTGGTTCGTCGCCGTTGCTTTTCACAAAAGACTTGTGATAACAAACCTTAAGAATGTTTAATTTTCCGTGATACAATTTAGCGTTAATAAATATTAAAAACGGAAATAACGGTATATTTAGTTATCGTCTTAATTTTTACACAACAGCTAAATTGCCGGCATCTTAGACTATGGCAGAACTATCGAAACTTCTATTCGTCTGGTGCTTGACATAGCCGGAGCCCAATTTTCAAAAGGTTGTCAACGCATCTCAATCAAGTCAAGGTTGTCAATGTCCATAGGCGGCGGTATTCACTTAACATCAGGTGAACCACCTGCTCGCTAGGCACGTTTCACATACTATTTCCAATAGTTCAACAATATAGTGTGTCAATAAATATTATAACAATATTTCTATTTAACAAAATCTTTTTATTGAACCTTCAGCGAATAAGAATCTGCATCTAAATACTATGCCTCTTTGAAGTACTACGAAAGTGTTAAGACAGCGCATAAAATTGCAATAAAAATTTCGATTGCGCCTGTTCGTTCTAGTATATTGATTTAAAAGCGACACTGGACTATCACGGGACAGTTCCTTGTTTAATCCCAAATATTATAATAACTTTCTGGAGCAAACGTGAAACATGGAACTAACTATTAATGTGCTACTCTTCCGATTTCTACCTAGACGTGGATTTCAACTTCCCCGGGCAGAAGCCGCTCTTCATCGGCGTGGACTTTGGCATAGATCTGAACTCGCGTATCGCCATCGTCGGACCCAACGGTGTCGGGAAGTCCACCTTCTTGAAGCTCCTGGTGGGCGAACTCAGTCCAATACGCGGCGAGTTGATCAGGAACCACAGATTGGTGAGTTCTATGAAATACTTTTAAATTTTTAATATTATTTTTTACTTCATTGCGAATGTTCAGATCTTTAATTTACCTACATCCTACATCCACCGCTACCGATGTAACCGCCGCTAGCTCAGTAATGCAACCTTCACAGAGGATCGGCCGCTTCGACCAGCACTCTGGCGAGCACCTGACCGCCGAGGAGTCGCCCGTGGAGTACCTGCAGCGGCTGTTCGGGCTGCAGTACGAGAAGGCGCGCAAGGCGCTCGGCACCTTCGGCCTGGCGGGGCACGCGCACACCATCAAGATGAAGGACCTCAGCGGCGGCCAGAAGGCGCGCGTCGCCCTCGCCGAGCTCACGCTGATGGCGCCGGACGTCGTCATACTGGTGGGCTCCACTTTTTTTTATTTTTATGCGGAAAGCTGCCAAGCGAGCGGTCAAGTGAATACAATACCGCCGCCCGTGGACACCTGCCACACTCGAGGGCTCCAGATGCGTCGAGAAACTTTTGAAAGTTGCGCTTATAACGTGCTCGGCTCGGGTGTTGGATGCGTATTTTCGGCTGATGCGACCGAGACAGGTAGGTGCAAAGTGGGCTTTTTTAGTGGGTAATTTTTTACTGGGAGTCCCACGTACCCCTGCCACTTCCCCAATCCAGTGGCAGGGGATCCATAAAGGTTTTTTCCCCACAGAAAAAAAGGGATGCGTATTTTCGAACGTTGTTTTGGCAAGCGAGCTGGCGAGTCGCTCTGTGTTGAGCGATAACTGCCGTCCATTGACATTTGTAACGCCCGTACGCTCGCAGATGCGTTGCCACCTTTTGATGAAGCGGGCCCCGATTACTTACCCTGATGGACCTGCCCATTCGTGCGACAGCGAATGCTGTTGCGAGGCACTACCACAGTTATAATAATATAATAATAACAAAAAACGAATATTTCGAATATAGAAACGAATATGTGAATGCGCGGTGATACTCTACGCACAGAAATGACTTTGCCTAGCGGTGGGACTATATTACAATCTCCTTCAACAGGACGAGCCGACGAACAACTTGGACATCGAGAGCATAGACGCGCTGGCCGAGGCGATAAACCAGTACAAGGGCGGCGTCGTGATAGTCTCGCACGACGAGCGACTCATACGCGAGACCGATTGCGCGCTCTACGTAATAGAGGACCAGACCATAAACGAGGTAACGCCGTTTGTTCATTCATTTCTTATCGCTTCACGTTTCCAATGGAATTTTAAGGGGAGCGAAATAGTGTTGATTATTTGAGAGGGTTCACGTAATTTCTACATAATTATACTATGATTATTTTTCCTACCTAATACTATACCGAGGTAGTTGTGAAAAACGTGAGAGTAATAATAATAATCAATCAGTATCCTACACTAACACCTATTATAGAGTAATGAAATTTTTAGTATTTAAACAAAACGTTGTTTTTTAACAGGTTGACGGTGATTTCGACGACTACAGGAAGGAACTTCTGGAGAGTCTCGGGGAAACGATCAACTCTCCGTCCATTATCGCCAACGCCGCAGTACTTCAGTAGAATCTGCTATTTGTCGATTAATAACGATCTTACTTACTCAAATACTGTTAATAATAACGCAACTATATTCGTTTTGTTTAGTAAACACGTAAACTATCTTCGCAGCATTCAATATTATGTTATAAAATAAACATGGTTTCGTGTATCTCTGTTGCTGTATATCGTGTTGCTGTTAAAAAATAAAATGTCTGAAATATTTAGATGAATGTCTTATTACATTGCGAGACACTAACTGAACGTGATTAATTAAATAAGGGATAGTTTAAATTGTTCTCAAATTATTTGTTAAATAAAATTATCACAATTGGTGTATTGTTATTGGAGTATAAATGTACAAAGTGAATATTATTCACTACTTGGTGTGTATTACGCACCCCACGTATTGAAAGTTCTGTGGAATGTAAATACATTGTTTTTTTTAAATTATATTGAATATTATAAATACACATCGAAAAGATTTAATAGCACAAGTGCCTACCTAAATAACTTCGAAATAATTGTATAAATAAAATGCGATTACTTCTTTGGAAAATTTGAAGACTAGTTAAGTAAAATATGCATTTTAATTAAATAAAGGTGTTATACATTTTTATCCATTGGCTTAAGATACACAGAACACTTACACCCAGAAAATAATGTCCAATAAATTACCAATCTGTTAAGGATCCCCGTGTTTATTGTGTAGAATTTGTATTGCGATAAATTTATTTATACCAATAAATTTTTTTACCTAAATTGTGCGTTTTTGTTTATAAGTTAAATATGCTGCAGGTAATGCTGAATAGTACTTTTTCTTTTGATGTTTAATTATGAAAAAATGAACTCGAATTATTCTAATAAATAATAGAGAAACGAAGATTTCACAGACAAAACAATATTTTGGAAAATAAGACGTTAACTACATTAAAATATATTTTAATGTATAAATAAATATAATGTAGGGGAGGAGCCGTGATAGCTCAGTGTCCGGACGCTCGCCTTTCATTCAATATACTCGAGCAACCTGAGTTCGATCCCCAGTGCCAGCACCAACGAAATTGTTAATTTTAAGTGCCGAATAATCATCGTGAGGAAACCTGCATATTTTCGAAATAATAAAAAAAATTGGAAGATATATATTATGTGAAGTCCGCCAATCCGCAGTGGGGCCGCGTGGTGGACTATGGCCTGATACCCTCTGTACAGAGGAGGCCTTTCCCTAGCAGAGGGTTATGTATAGGCTGATACTTTATTTTACTTTTTTAAAACGACTTATGAAACAGCCCTCGTAGACTCTCTTAATCATGTGCCAAATCATTTGGATTTAAATGCGATTGTAGAGAGAGTTAGCCTCAAACTTCAAAATCGTTGGAGTTAAAAATATTGTCTATATTATATCAATTAAGTCGAAAAGTTCCGCTTTTGTGAAAATAATTGAAAATAGTTTTGTTTACACAGTACGTGTACTTGTACTTATAGTTTTATTCAATCAACTATATGAACACTATATTATACATTTGGTAATACGTTTTATAAACATATAAAAAAGTATTTATTAGTATAAAAAGTGGAAAATAAGTTATTAAAAATAGCTTAAAGTTAAAAAGCTTAAGATTAAAAAGCTTTTTTCAGTATTAGGGTTTCGTTGTAGAACTTTATTTTTATTTAAACTATTTTGGGGAATTTCGTGATAAAGCATTTGGAGAGCCGATTTAGGGATAAGTAATTTTTCAGGATATAACTTTATCCTCTAGATATTCTGTTAAACGTGACATTACAAAGCCTAATAATATAGCCATAAACCAGCAGACGATATCAAACACTTCTAAGGAAACCTTATTTGTTAAATTATGATACGTAGTTCAAAGTATCAGGGAACAGATGAACATATATTCATACATACATGCCGGTCAAACACATAACATAACCCGCCGCCGTAGAGAAGTAAAAATGATATAATATACTTTTCATAAAAGCTCTTTGTTTACGAGCGCTTTAAAATTGAGCCCATAATGAGATTTTATATTAGTTATCTCTAAGATTACGCTAACCATGTCGATATATCGATTGATATAATTTGCATATGGAGTCGCGTATTATTAATAAAAAAAGCCTTACATGTCGTTTCCAAAGAATTTAAATTTTCTTTGGAAACGACGTGTAAGGTTTCAAATACATTTTATATATTATTTATTTATTTATTTTTTTTATAAAAGGGTTTTGTACACATATGTCTGAATGGTGGCCAACAATTTATCGGGATCATCCGGTCTATCGCAAATTCGATTTTTGTCGACCACATGCCATGCTAGCGAAACGTAGAAGCTACTGCATAGTATCTTGTAACACATGTAAGTAGCCTTTACCCGTGGGTTCTGGCTAGCCCACCGGTTCTGCGTCAGATGAAGTTTTAATAGTCTCGGGACTGAAAGCAAAAACATCAGTTAATACAAGAATACAAGAGTTGCCTTTATTTAAATCTAACGCCCGGTTTCTGAAACACTGATCATCGTAGCAGTTGATTAGTTGACATCTACGATGATCGGTGTTTCAGAAACCGGGCGTAAGTGTATTAAAAATATATATACTAGATGTATATACAGTGTATAATTGCAATTTTGTTTCCTTACGTACATTAGCTAATTAGAAGTCGATCGACACTTACATAAACATAATAGGTAGCCATATGAGCCATCCTTTGCACCTTTTTGGTATCCAATGACCAGGTGGTTCACCTATGCTAAGTGATTGTCGCCGCCCATAGACAATACTATTTTTGTGGGGTTATAGATAAGGTACCAACCTTCAAAAAGTGGGCTCTAGTTATCTCACTCACCATATGGAAAGAATAAGTAAGTATAACGACTGTGGTAGGGCCACGCAACAGTGTTCGCTTTTGCACGAATGGGCAGGTCCGCCCGGGTTAATACCTCGACCGCACAAAAGACCGGCGTGAAGTAGAAGTGTTACACTTCTGCGTTTCGTCTGGTGAGTGAGGTAGCCGGGGCTAACTTTAATAAAGGGTGGCGACGCATCTGTAACCCCACGAGTGTTGCAGATGTCCGTCGACGGCGGTTATCACTTAACATAAGGCGAACCGCTAGCTCGTTTTCCACTTTGTGACATTAAAAAAAACTTCCACTACACGCCGATCTTTTGTGAGGCCATAGTACTTCCCCGGACAAGCATGACCACACGTGCGACAGCGGACGCTGCTGCGTAGCCCTACCATAGTAAGAGTAGCATTGCGCGTAGCAGGTGATTTCTGATTTAATTGTGGTGCTAGAAGCCGTTTGGAAATAACTTTTTATTTTAAAATTCCAAGGCGCGGTGAACATTATCCACCGCCAGATACTTAGTCAAGTGATCTCGTTTAGATCAGTCAGTAGTTTAAATGTGCTATCAACTGATAGCACATTTAAACTGCCTTTAAAAAAAAAACAAAATTAATTATAATCGTCGAAATATCCCTCAAATATAAAAATAACTCCTGGGACTTAAAAGCAACGCAAACAAAAGTTAAAACATTTTCATCATAAATTGATCAGACGTAATTTGATTTTATATACCTACCTACGTACCGGGATTTTCCTCGATTCATTCGCAGCCTTTCGCCCCTCCATTACAAAGTTCTCAGCTTCATTAGAGGATTTAAAACGCAAATTTCCTTTTCGATTGTAACTTTTTTCTACTTCTGGAAAAGGAAGCTTCTTTTTAAACTCGAGAGGAAATCAGTGTCGTCCCCTTTGAGAAACGCGGGAGCGTTTTTAAAAGAAACTCATTTAAATAGACGATTCAATCTGGTTGAATAATTTTATTTCCGTCTGCAGGTGCAGTATTTGCAATTATTCAAGTGACATTGGGTTTTGTATTACTGTGATAGTGATAGAGAAAGTATATATGTCGTTAGAAGCAAACATTTTCAATTGAAACTAATTAATAAAATATACTTGAGCAACCTGAGATCAATTCCCAGTGCTAGCATAAATGAAATTGTTAATTTTATGTGCTGATTTATCACGCGCTTAGCACATTTTCGAAATGATAATAAGAAATATATGTGAAGTCTGCCGCAGTGGGGTCCCGCAGTGGACTATGCCCTAAAACCCCTGTGCATAGTACGTTTTTACCCTGCAGTGGGCTGTTACTTTACATTTTTTACTACACATATCGTCGTTATAGTCGATTTATGTTATAAAAATGACGTCTTGATTATAATGGATTTCTATTATAAAAACGTGGGAGTGAGAGCAAGGCTCTGAAACGGCAGCCAGATATTGCAGCCATCGCAGTGTAGGACGGCCCCAAGTAGGCGAAGTGATGACCTATGCAAACACGCGGGAAGTCGATGGATGCAGGTAGCTTATTTCATATATTTTTAACCGACGTCAAAAGGAGGAGGTTATATTAAGAGTTGTTGTCATTGGAAGCCTATGGACATTATTAAACATTCTCAATATGTGTCCAATGCCAGTTATAACAGGTTACAAACAGGTTAACCACCTCCTCGATTGCCATCTCTGTAACATTAAAGAAATATAAAAGTTCTGAAGTTAACCAAGAGTAAGCAAAAAGAAACTGCCGCTAATGTTAACTAGCACAGTTCTTGGTTCTACAGTCATAATTTTATTTATTTGTTTTATATGAAAAGTTGGCAAGCGAGAAGGCGATTCACCTGATGTTAAGTGATTACCATGAAAATCTGCAATACCTCGTTGCCAAACATTATGAAAGTGGGCTCCGGTTAGCTGAATCACCAGACGAAACGCGAAAGTCTAATTCCCAAACTTCCTAAACACAATTTATGGAGTTTGGATGCGGTTGGAAATTTTTCGTATCCATTTTCGGATAATCGAACATATTTTCGTATATTTACTAACTTTTCTTTAATTTATGAAAAACTGAGTGGCCGAATAACCGAATAACAAAATTATCGGAGCAAATTACAACATGTTCTACATTAAAGGAAAGAGATTAAAATGTAAGGATAAAATTTAGGTGCGTTTTATGCAGATACG